CATTCAAAACACTATGGATTTATGTACTTTTGAAATCCTGGAAACAGATGAATTCCATGCAGCATCCCTGCACAGTGTTCGTCTGTGTTCTGTATATGGTGCAGTTATGAAATCGTTTTCTCTAGATGGCAAGGTTGACTGGAAACATTTTATCTGCCAACTCTCAATTATCCACAGACTATTATTAAATTTGAAAATTAAACAGGCCCCTGCCTTCTCTTTCTTTTTACTTTCTTTTTTTTCTTCCTGCTACATTTTTGAGAATTTCACTGCCAAGTAGTTTTCCACCAAAAGATTTACCAAACCAAAATAAACCTAAAACAAAAACTAACCCAAAGCAAAAGTAATCACTTTGAATCCTGTTAATGGACCATGTTAAAGAGATTTGGTTAGAAAAAAAAATTAGTTCACATAACACTCAACAAATTTCCAAGGGAAACCTTGTCACATCCTGGGTATTACACAGTTTAGGGAAAGAAAAAACCGAACACTTATTTGAGGCTCTGAAATTGCTTTAAAAGTCAAAATACCAGCCAATAGCAAGTAAGGGATAGTGCATATTGCCTAGTGTAAGTAAGGTGTATTTATGCAAGTATAGACCATTGTTGTTATAATCAAGAGGATATTTTATTTGCAATAATATATTTTTTCCTAATTCAGCAGGAGAATTTGGCAGCAATAAAGAGTTTTATGTATGCATTACTTTCTAGAAATTTGGCAAGGACGCTATCACAATGAAATTTCCATTTCATGAAAATTTTAAAGCATGTTTCCCAAAAGAGCAGACTGTTTAGAAACAAAATATGTAGCTAAGAAGTCTTATTAAAGTGGCTCAAGTGAAACTTAGTTTTCCTCTATTGCCTGAAGAGCTATATATTAAGAAACTAGATTATACATTCATACATTATTTTCTAACTAAAAATATCTCTTTCCTCTTCTCGCAAGAGTTTAAAAGGGATCACTCTACGAGTGTATTTTCATGGAAGTCCCTCCAATTCCTACTAGTCCCAAGGTATTTTTAGGTTAGCTGAGGCCTATAATCTAAAGGAAAAAGAAAAAGGCTAGTCCATGATCTGAGAGTATCAATTACCCAAATGTTTGAGCAAGAGATCTGTGCAATTTCTCACTTTTTAATCCAAATGTTTGGTACTATAAAAACACAGACATAAGCTTGGAATAGGTGACAAAACTCCCCAAGGAAAGCCCTTGGCCAATTTCTATTAATGAGCAAATGAGAAAAAGGTTATCGGGCAAGTTTTACTGATTCCCTATGTCTGACTTTCGCTGATATAAATCTTTATATGTGCTCTTTTTTTTTTTTAAAGATTTTGTTTATTTATTTGACAGGGAGAGACACAGCGAGAGAGGGAACACAAGCAGGGGGAGTGGAAGAGGCAGAGGGAGAAGCAGGCTCCCCATGGAGCAGGGATCCCGATGAGGGGCTTGATCCCAGGACCCTGGGACCATGACCTGAGCCGAAGGCAGACGCTCAACGACTGAGCCACCCAGGCGCCCCTGTGCTCATTTTTAAGATAAGACCTGAAATATTGCTAAAATAGATTTTGGCTCAACACTAGACACATACAATATGACAATTGTTTTATCTTCTCTTCCTTGTTTAAACTTTTCATACAAACCTATTTTCAATGATGACACCCAATTAAGAACTTTTCTCTCTTTAATATGTTTTTGTCAAATATTTCCTGTGTGTCTAATAAGATATTAAGCATTACGGAAATATTAAAAACTAGGTTGGGACAAAAAGTTACATATTCTAATAAATCCCCAGAAAATAATATAAAATACATAATAATATAAAATAATATAAAATACACACAACCTAGTCAGGAATTTGAGAAAAAAGATCTTATGAGATGTTAAGAAGAGAACAGGGGATAACCCTACCAAGCATCATCATTATATCCCCACAAGTGTCCCCCACCTGACACGTGGTAGGTATTCAAAAAATTCTATTGAATGAGTAAAGGAGTTTGAGGACTGAGTAATCTATAGCATATAAACCCGAATTTGAGTGTAATATTTATATGAACTTGATGGGAAGTTTTATAATCCATAACTATGTAGCAACTGCCGAGTTCTGAGATAGAGGTGAGAATTCCAACCGATAGCAGAGACGTCTCTGGGACCCTGCTGATAGGGAAGCATGGCCAGTCGCCTGAAAAAAACAAAACAAAAAGCAATGAGCAATAAGCACGGAATTACAAAAGTCCAAAACAATGTTTCAACCACCAGTGTCCTGACTTCGAATCCTTAGAGAATTTCGAGGATGACATAGAGTGATTAGGGACTGGCAAAAAAGGGAACATGTTAGACATTCAATATATGAAGTACCACAACATTACAACGACATATAATTCTTAACGTTTTTCTTTTCTTTTTTAATGCATTCTCTTCTCTTTATCTGCTTCCTACCCTGCTTCCTTTTTATCTCCCCACCTCCTACATCAGACTTACACAATATTAGAAGCGGTATTTGAAATGATATGATTTGAAAACAGTTTATTCTGACAGGGATGTTTAAGTGAGTGCTGCTTTAAAAAGTATGGTCAAGCCTCTTTTGTTCTTGCCTAACTACAGATAAGGAAAACATTCCATGTGGTAAAAAGTAGTTTAGTCTGTTCAAAGTTCTGGGAATGATATTTATCCAAAGGCCAAATGTCCCATCTTCAGAGCAGAGGTGTCATGTAGCTATGGTGTCATCTTAGAATGCAGACCATCTGGGAAAGTGGCCACTCACCACTCCCTTCAGGACAGCGCTGAAAGAAAATGCACATTACAGCTGATGGCCATTCCACAGCTGCTGGCCATATGAATTTCCCAGTAGAGCTCTTCCGTTGGTTGGCTCTGTCTAGCCTGTTCCCCATGGAAGATGCAAAAGGCTAGCACCTGCTTGCTTGGAGTGCTGACTGAAGAAAACATGGGCCCTGAGAAAGTCTTCAGAGCATGTGGGGATGAAATAATGCAACCAGGAAGCTTAACAGAAAGTCTGCCAATAGGAAGAGTTTCCAGTGGCTTAAGTTTTTGGACTACTCCTCCTGAGAAAGAAAAGAATGAAAGATATATTAACTCTCATTGTAAGGTTGACCTAACACATAAAACAGATTTGTGTTGGGGAAGGCATTGTAGGACTAATTCTATTAGGTCAATTTGGTTAATTGCAATTCTCCCTTCAAACAATTATCTGTAGACAAGAGACTTGGTCTACCAAAATGAAACTAAATTCGTAATTCATGGCTGCACATATAGTTACCTTTATTGTCAACAAATAATTCAGAAAAATGTCATATTTCTTTTTTTTCTAAAACAAACTAGCCTAATTCCAACATATGTTAAGTTTTATTTGTTTAAAATAGAAGTTAAAGTTTTATAAGCTTTTAAAGGTAATTTTCACTAACTCAAGCTTACCAGGAGTCCATCTCTAAAGAGGGTGATTTGAGAATTTCTCCTGGACCAGAGCATCACAAAAGAAGACACTCATATGACAAAAAATAGCAAATATAAAACCATACTTTGGGGAATAGGAGACTATTCTTTCACACTAATGACATCCAGGGATAATCTGAGTCTCACAGAAAGTGAAGAACACCAAATCAGTTTCTCCTTGAAAGAGGCTCATGTTCCTCACCCTCCACCCATGTATTACTGTATGTATATTTACTTTTAATTTATATTTTAAAATCATACTTTAGAAAAATGTGTGCTTATGTAAAAATTTGCACAACAGACACAAGTTAAAAGAGAAAATAAAAATACACAAAAATCCTTTCTCTGAGAAATAAACACAAGTAAATTTAGGGGAAAAAAACCATCTATCTAGACTTCTCCTCCTAATCTAGGCATGTAAACATGGCTATCTACCTGTGTTACAGATACATGGATAGACAGATACAAAGCCTGATAGAAACCTTATGATAAAGCATCTATATCGTACATACTGATTTATAACCTATTTTTATTTCATTCCATATTTTTGTATGTCTATAAAATAGAACTACATTACTCATTTTGATAGTTGAATCATAAACATATAATTTCACTACACTTTTGTTATCACTGGGTATTAATTTTTTCCAATCTGATGGGTAAAATAGGATATTTCATTGTTTACTTTAATGCATTTCTTTGATTTTTAGTCAAATTGGAATATTTCCAAAATGTTAGTGACTATTTGTATTTACTTGTGTGGAAGTACATGTTCAAGCTCTATAACGTTTTATTCCATTTAGTTGTTTACTTCTGTTCTTAATATTTTCTTAAGGCTATTTGCATATTATTGCTATACAATATTGCTATTGACATCCCCTCTTTTCGGGGACAGCAGGTTACTGTCTATCGCTCTAGCCCCGCTAGCCCAGAAACCGTTCTCTTCTTCTCCTTTTCCTTCTTTTTCTTCCTCTTTTCCTCCCTCTTCTCTTCCTCCATCTTTAAATGACTTTACATAGCTCTGCTCCAGTCCATTAAAGTTTAATTCTCAGAAGATCGTGTCATTTCCAAATTATTGTGACATGCCTCATGTTATTGCCAAATACCACTTAAAATAAAATTTCTAAAATATAAACCTAATTGTTGTTCTTAATGGCAATTAAAAAATTAAAATTCCTATTGTAGAATGCCAGAAAATATTCATTATGACAACCGCAGTATTAAAAACATATTTGTAAAATCAGCCAAATGTGATCAATGCTTACTAAATTATACAAGTTATTTTAAAGAAAGTATATTCAAAGAGTTAAAAGAAAACAATTTCTGCATAAAAACTTGAAATATATATATACATAGTGATAAGACCATACTTTTTCAGAGTCCATTAAAATTTCACAGCCTTTTAAACTTTATTATTATTATTTGCTTAAACTTCTTGTTCAAATTATATAAAAATTTGCTCTTTGTTTCTACAAGTACTGGCTGGTAGATCACATGGCAACATACTGGGATTTTAATATTACCTTATTTTTCTCCTTTTTTTTTTTTTTTGATAGAGACTATAACAAACAGCAAGTGGTCAAAAGTAAAACACCTAGACACAGAAGAAAATTTAAAAAGGGAAAATCCTGGATCATCTATTCCTGAATAACTGAAGGTTGGCACCCGTTCATAAGATCTGCTGAATGATCTACGGGGACTCTTTTGTCTTCGAATACACTAAACTCAACTCTTTCCAATGGTCTCCAGTTTAGGGAAACTTAGACTGAACTTGTTAAATAAAAATTCAAGCTGATTTCTCAGTTTGTATAGTAAAAATAATGTGTGCTGTCCCAGGTTCAGGTGTTCCGGGTTTTTTTTTTTTTTAAATATGCAGTAAATTTGATAATTAACTTTTGGATAAGGAAGCTTGCAGGATATAGAACACACTTCAGGAAGAAAAAAGTACGTGTGGTGTTAGCAGAATGGGAAGGCTGCCCAGAACATGTCCCCTGCTATAAGATTAGTTTGGGAATTAGGGATTTACAGTGCTTACCCCCATCTAGAGGGGACTTGGCAACATTCCCTAGAACTGCGAAGATAAATTGGTGGGAGTGAAAGAAATAAGTAAAGGCCAGAGGCTGCTGGAAAACAGGCTTTCCTGTCACAAAGTCGTGATGTTGTAAAGAGTTCTTGAAATCAACCTAGGTTCTAGCCTGAGGAAGAAAGCCAGTTTCTATGTGTTAACAGTAACAACTGATCAATTCCGTCTCCTCATGGTCAGCCTGAGAGATGTAATACAAAGGCCCGTCTTGGGGGAGAAAGTGGCCGTGGGGTCATCCACTCAGCCAAGGAGCTCCACCACATACTTCCCGTCACAGTGACCTGCGGCAGATGGGGGCTTGAGAGTAAGACTGGGTGCTGAGGAGGGGGATGGCAATTATGAATGAGGACGACGGTGAAATTTAGAGATGATGAGAAGACTATTGCAGGAGGCAGGAAAAATTAATTATTTTTTGAAAACATCTGAATACATGAATATAAATGGGAAAGATATGAGACACTGGCAAAAATATGTAAATGTATTCCTTTCAAAAGGAAAGCCATCAGAATTCATTTCCATTCAAAAATAAAATAAAAAAGATTGTAACATGGAGAAGTAGTTTCTAGAAGCTGGTGTAAAAATAAAATGCTTGAATTCCCAAAGGGAATTATTTATATTAAACAAAATAAAGCAGTATGTAAACTTTGCCTGGAAATTCCCCTCACCTGTCCCTAGACACCACTTTTGATTTCTTCTTTTGCCCTCCCTTGTCCTCCTGTTCCCTACTAGGAGAGAAAATTACAATTTCATATACATTATTAACAGTCTCATTTTCAATATTTTAACACAGGGGACATAGGTAATTTCTTTATAAATAATAATAAATAAATTCCTTCCTCTTTCCACAATTTTTTATTTCTCTTCTTTCATTCCTTCTTTCCTTCCCTCCTCTTCCACCCTCTCCTTTCTTTTCTTTCTCTCTCCCCACCTCCTGTACCCTACAAGAGGCCCAGCAAGTCAAAAGAGCCTCCTCAAAAGAGCCTCCATCTCCTCAAGTCAAAAACATTCATATGGAAGTACTTCTCTTGGAAAATTAAGGAAGGAGACAAAAACCCCTCAAACTCTCCAACTACAGTGGTGCCAATTTGATTGCAGTTCCTGCCTGTCAACCTCTTCAACTGGCTTCTTCTCCATATTCAGAAGCATAGATTTCAGGCCATGGTCATGCAAATCTGGTCCTATTCCACGTGTCAGTGGATTGAGCTTGTTCGGGCTTCCCCGCCCCCAGCATTTGGTGCGTATGGACTCCAGCATTCACTGCAGTCATGAACCCAACTGACTGTAGGGGGCGGGGGATGAGCGTTCAGGACTCAACCCCAAGTTGATGCTATATCCATTTATTTCGCTACAAGTTTGTTTAATCCATAAGCCACGGAAACACCCGACTCAAACATACCAAACATCGTAGCTTTAAGTCTGTTATGACCAGCAGTGGCTTCTAAATAGGCTACTTCCATAAACTAATGTTATTGCAGACAAAGAAAAGAAAATCTTCATAGAAATCTTCACACTAAACTTTGAATGGATGTTTCTTTCAGTGGCGTGCTGTTTTTTCAGTATAGGGAGACGTGGCCTCTGTGCTTGTTGGCTGATAATATAGGAACATTCTTTACACTTTATACTATTAAGGGAAAAAATAGGACTGGATCTGTGTGACGACAGCACAGTATCGACATCCTTACATGTGAGCAAGGGAATAATCCTGAGGGCTGAAGTGCACCCCTCAACTCCCACACTAAAACAAGATAAAAGGCAGACCTGTATTAAAATATCTATAAACTTGCACTTGTAAGATGAATAAGTTCTGAGGATCTAATGCATGAATTGTGACTATAGTTAATAATAACTATATGAGGTATTGGAATTGACTTTGTGTTAATTAACTTGATTGTAGGAAGCATTTCACAAAGTACACACATATCAAATCATCACATTGTATACTTTAAAAATACTACAATTCTATCTGTCACATATACTTAACGCTGGGAAAAAAATAAAGTTTCATTTTCAGATCCTCACCCCTCTTGAGGGTGCCAGATAAAAATATAGAATGCCCAGTCGAATTTACATTTCACATAAACAACAAAGAATTTTTAATGCAATATGCCATACTTACACTAAAAAATATTTATTATTTATTTGAAAATCAAATTTAGTTTAGAGTCTTGTATTTTTTTTCTGTGAAATCTGGCTATACCATATAACAACTATTATTCTACCAATGATTTCCTTACCTTATTTTTGTCTTTTTTGCCCTTATCTCACCATCTGATAATACATTGTTCATTTTTTTTTTTTCCTGGATCATTGTCTGTGTTCCAGTACTGAAAGCCTGGCTCAATGGAAGCGAAGATGTTTCCATTTTATATCTCCCTGGAACTCCAGATGGAAGATGCTCAACATATAATGGTTTCTCGATAAATATGGAATAAATTTATTTAGTTAGTGAATAGAAAATCTATCTCAAAAACCTGTTGCTTGTCTATCAGATATGCAAATAATTCTTATAGATTACTAGATCTATAATATTTGCTATTTGTTTTTACTCTTGATTTTTTTCCTAGTTAAGTTGAAACCACTCAAAGATATGGATGATGCTGGTATTTGTTGAGCACTTACGATGTGCCTGTATTCCGTCATGTACACTTAATACTCACAAAACCCTTACGAAATTGGTATAATTTGTATTCTCAGTTTGGCAATCAGAAAAATGAAGCTTAGTAAATAACGATGTCCAAATTCACGTAATCCAATTACCAAGCAAGACTTGAGACCTCATTTAAAACTGTCCCTGGGATAAAGCATTTTCTCAGTATTTATTTCATGCTGTTATTATCTCATAGTAATGGAAACTTAAAAGACATATGGACAATATCCTCGCATTTTTTTCTTTTTATGAAAATTTATTTTTGCAGATCCTTGTCTAATGTACTGGCAAAAAGTAAGGAAGAAAAATTATAGTGAACAACTAATTTAAGTGAATCTTTGCTAACAGATTAAAAGCAGTTTAGCACTTCATTTTCCAGAGGTGAAATTATAAGGCTTTTTGATTAATTTTTCTGCACAAATTATGAATAATTATGCTGTTAAATAATACAATTTCATAAGAGCTTTCATTTTGGGTTTTACTAATGCAATTCTACTTACATGCAGAGAAAATGAGAAGAGAGGGCAGCAGTATGTTTTCTTATGTTATTTAATCTTCTATAGGCTTCTTTCCAAACCAAGCAACTAAAATGAAACACAGCTTTCCTTCCCAAGAGGGTTTCACTTGTTCCTTTTCTTGCCTCCATCCCCTCTCCCCCTGGCCTTTCTTCCTGTGCTTTTGACTTTCCTTCTCTTTCCTTCCACCCACAGGCACTTTTGAAATGGCCTCAGATGGGACGGTGAGATCAGAAAATATGCCTATAGAACCCTCTACACGCGGATCTGGCAAGCATTCAACACAAACGCAATTAGAGGGCTTACCCTTGCATGAAATATTTGCTTTCCTGAGAGTCACCAACATTAAACTTTAGGAATGCTAAGGCATAGTGTTTCTATGTCAGAGCTGGGATCCTCAACTTTCCTTTCCTCAAAGTTATTGTTTTTAAGTTTTGCACATAGTATCAAAGGCCCACCAAACAATACATGGGAAAGAAGAATTTTATTAAAATCCACTTGGGACAACTGCATCTGCCATTGGTATTCTTTGGCCAGGGTCTGAGAAGTTATAGCACACCCACCCAGAAGTACTTAAGAGCATTGTTCATGCATTCAGTATTTTTCAAATGTACCACGTAGAGTGTACCATGCACTGAGCTCAGACCAGTGTGAAGGCTTGGAAATCATTTTCAGCGGTAGACACAGGCAACTAACCAGGAAATTGCAGAGTAACTGATGAAGGTGCTTGATCATCCTTATCCCTTTCTTCATACTATAGAATTTCCAAATATAAAGGAAGCCTAAGTAGAATATTTGTTCACTTTGCTTTGGTCAAGGATAAATATATTTCAAATTTGGTCAGTTCATGGATTCTCAGGGAGAGAAAAAAATATATAAATACAACAAACACACACCATGTTAGTTACATCTTCAAGTTCCGAAATCAGAAAAAATAGTCTATAAATTTTTTTTCTCTCACCCTAAATCAATTTTAAAATGGTGGTAGCATTTTACAGTCATCAATTTCATACATCATATTTTACTTTACATTGTATCCCTGGAGCCTAGTCTTACAAATGGACAACGTTCAATAAATATTCGTTAAATTCAAGTTTAATCACAATGTATATAATACTAAGGAACGTTACCCTATGTTGTGTATGGAGAAGTCTTTGATCTTCCTCAGAGAAAGTAAATAGACAACACTAAAAGCACTCTAAAAATATAAGTGAGATTTGTTCAGTATTCAAGATGTGCCAGCCATACTGCTAAGAATTTTGTAAGCATTAAGACATTCAGTCTTGAAATACCCTATAGGTGAGGAAGCTGAGGCTTGGGGACTATTGAGAAGGTTGCCAAAGATCACACCCAGCAAGGGGTATGCATTAACTCTCTATAGCTGCTGGAACAAATTATTACAAACTTGGTGGTTTCAAACAACAAAAAGTTATTCTCTCACAGTTGTAGAGGCCAGAAGTCTGAAATAAGTATCCCCGA